TAGTTCCGGTCGTAACATTCTCTGATGCGCCGAATATAAAGTGAAGTACAGTTCAAATGCGGTTTGTGACTGAATGGCGCATCCAGGAGACTCTTGGTGCAAGAAGGCGTCAAAGGGAGTTTATGATTAAAATCCACCTTGGAGCTGTAGCACGTGGACTTCGACGAGAGGACACGGGGTAGACGCCAGGTCATGTTTCGTTGCATGATGGGCATGGAATTATAAAGCCTGTAGGAACATTGCGAGTTGTCTCAGAGCTTGAAATACGTTCCAGGTTTTGGATGACAATTTTCATTTCTTTGTGTATCTTGGGTTTGAGTCTAGTTTGCTCTTTTAAGCACGTCGCGTAGAATGCCAAGTGCAGAACTTCAATGAATCAGAAGTACCACAATTCTTTGTGTGTTAGAGCAAATTTGGATGTCGAGCCGACGAAATTAGCCTTGAAGCAAGTGGTCTTGTGTTCTTCCTGTGTAAACAGCCGTCCCATTGGCTCATTGAGACGAGCCTCGGCCTCCCACGCACTTCTCTGCCAATCGACGCCTTTGTTGCATCATCGATCCCACTCGGGCGCCCCTCCCTCGGGACTTCCCCTCGTTGTGTGGAACAGAATTAATCAAAAACTAGTCCAGAAATCACATGAGCGCAACGACTTTATACGGAGCGAAGCGGAGATCAAACCGTGACGAGATTTTGTTCCTCGTCCGACGCAGGATTCGCGTTGAGGCACTGTTTCATCCGCCACAAACGTCACGACAGTGTAATTAATACAGCGACGAATCTTAAAAGTGTATTCGGTTGCCTGGTTACCTCATCGAAAACCATTTTCAAACTAATAACAAAACAAAATAGAATAGAAAATGTAACACCGCGTAACAATTCTGGAGCTGTCGCCACGATAAGACATTTGCAAGTGGCGCCGGTGACGTCAGAGTCGGGTATTACCCACGTGCCCCCACTTGGCAGCGTGTTGGGTATACGCCACCCAGTCTCTTCCGCGTAAACAAAAGTTCTATTGTGTCGACAGATGTTAATAACGCTGCCCCCCAAAAAATTGTCATTCGACTTTTACACGCGGTCTCAGAGAAATATGGAGAAGCTAATGCGTTTGCTCATAGAATCCTTGGCAGGCCCATTGAGTGTTGAAAACGGATTTCATATGGTGGTTGTCAGAAGTCTGCGTTCGAATCTATAAAGAACTTCAAATGCGAAAATTATTGAACCTCAGAGAAACTTTTAATGCATTGATTAGTCTGCGAATTATCTAAACAAATATGGTTGTAGGTATCGTCGTCCTAGGACAAAACAGGAAGGTACAGCCGTCAGATTTCCAGGGAGTTTGACATTCGCGCTCCTCACCAAATATGAGATGGGCGGGACATGTAGCACGTGAAAAATTAACATATAAATTTTATTCTGAAAATGTGATGTGACAGGATAGCCTTAAAATTATCTTAAAGAAACGGGATGTGAGATGGTTTCGCTTGCTGAGGACGGGGTCGGGTGTTGCGAACACTGCGAAGAACCTCTGGGTCACATAAGGACCAGGGAGTTCCTCGCCGACTGAACGGCCACCAGCTTGTCGAAGAACGACTTGGTTCTGCCGAAAGGGGGGGGAAATCAGAACTGAGGGCGTGAACAGCAAAAATGTCTTCTTGAAAGACTTGTCTTAACAGTGCGACTGAGACTAATTCATCCTTTCTTGTGACTGACGTTCATTAGGTCGAAAGACGGGTACACACCCTCAGCAGTTGATAGGTAAGCTACGAACCAGTGCTCTCCTGCCACGCATTAACGAGATTCTCTGCTAAAATTGTGGGTAGTTCTGTGAAGACGGTCGCCTCGCCTTTCCAGCGGATTCTCGGCGTCTTCTGAAACTCCCCACGACGAATTAATGGGCGCTTAGGCCCGTATTCCGGATTATTATTCACCGAACGGACTCATATATTGCCAAAGTTTGGAATACGTGGAGTCATACCTCCACGCCCCTCCTCGTGCTTAGGCACAGCAGCGAACTCTAGAATTGATTTGGGAACTGATGTGGCATGCTTAGCTGGAGAGGAGTTGGCCACTTGCCCATCAGCAGGTGATTGATTGGGGAGGGGAGACAAAGACAAGAAGAAGAAGAAGAAGAAGACGGTCGAGTATCGTTTTATTGGCCGAGCCTATGTGTAACGTGACAGACAACAGTAACAACACTTTACAACAGCTGATGACATGCAGGTCGTCTAACACTAAGGAGACATGCAACTAGCTGCCAACAGGCACATACAGATTGCGCTACTTTAGAACTAAGTGACACTGTGGGATGCTGGACAAATGTTTCTACGTCTGCTGCTCGTCCCTGGAGGGCGAGGCGACTCCCGGGGCTGGGGACGTCAGTG